TTGGAAATGTTGAATTAAACCCCAAATTAATACTGACAGACACCTTATATGTTCCTAGCTTCAAGTTCAACCTTCTATCAGTACCTAAAATCACCCAAACAGCAAGCCTTAAACTGACCTTCTATCCTGATTTTTGTCTCCTGCAGGACCTGCAGAATGAAGTGGTGTTGGCAGTTGGCAAGCTTGTAGGGAAGCTATATTTGTTAGATGAATTTAGTTTCATTTCCAAAGAAAATAGAGGTAGAGAAAAATTGTGAGCACAGTCAAAACTTCCTGAACGTACTACCTCCTGTAATCAGATAATTGATATCAATAAAGTTTCTGATTCTTCATCTACTGATAAATTCCTTGAGTGGCATTATAGACTTGGGCATGTGTCTTATCATGCTATGCAATACTTAGATTTTCTTACGAATCTTCCAAAAAAATCAGACTTTCTTAAACACTGTGAAGTATGCCACAAAGCCAAACAACAGAGGAGTCCTTTTCCTGTCAGTTCTATTCATACACAAGCTGTTTTTGATCTTATACATGTAGATCTTTGGGGTCCCTATAGACAATCCTCACTCACAAACACACCATATATGTTCACGATTGTCGATGACTACAGTCGATCCACTTGGACCTTCTTATTTGTACACAAGACACAAGTTGCAAAAACCTTGGATATTTTTTTTCGTATGGTAGAAACTCAGTTCAACAAAAAAGTTAAGTGCATACGTACTGACAATGGCACTGAGTTTCTTAGTCATGAGTGTCAAAGTATCTTTCAAGTGCTTGGGATTGTTCACCACAGAACCTGCGTCTATACACCCCCACAGAATGGAGTGGTTGAGCGAAAACACAAACATTTACTACAAATTGCTCGAGTCTTGATGTTTCAAGCCTGTTTACCTAAAAAATTCTGGACTTACTCACTGTTAATGGCCACATTCATCATTAACAGATTACCCACCCAGGTTCTCAATTGGCAGACTCCTTATGAAAAACTCTTTGGACACAAGCCAGATTACTCTCTGCTTAAGACTTTTGGTTCTCTGTGCTACATTGACAATACCAAACCTCACAAAACCAAATTCGATTCCAGATCACATAAATGCATTTTTCTTGGGTATAATCCTGGTCAAAAGGGTTTTAAGGTATTTGATATTCGTACTCATCGGGTACATGTTTCTAGAGACATTGAGTTCTTTGAGTCCATTTTTCCCTTTCAACATCAGTCAAATGGATCCCAGCCTACTTTACCCTTGTTTCCTCATTCTGATGATGATATGGATATGTCAAGCTCCCATAAGGCTACTACTCCTGATCCAGTACACATTTTACCTCATGTTGATACGCAGCAACTTACTCATGATATTACTTCTGATTCAGTTCCTCTCATTCAGGTTCATTTTCCTGAAACTCGATCATTCTTTGACTCCTCTACTGATCTTTCTATTGACCCTTTACCACCCCTTGGTTCACCCGTTCCTATTCTTCGACACAGTGCTAGAACTAAAACCCAACCATCCTGGTTGAAAGACTACATCACTAATGTGACTGCCGTGCAAGATCAGCCAATTGCTAATACTACTTCATGCTGCAAAGGGGTCAATTCGCCTACCTCTGGGTATACACCACCTACCTTTCCCTTTATTATTTTTCCAAAACTAACACCTTCCTATAGTGCTTTTCTGGCAAATGTATCGATTTTTCAGGAACCTGACTCATATCTTCAAGCTAGCAAGGATGAGAAATGGACTCAGGCAATGCAGCATGAACTTGATGCTCTGGAGGTTAATCAAACTTGGGAATTAACTACTCTGCCACCTAATAAGAAGGCTATTGGTTCACGGTGGGTTTACAAAATCAAATTTCTTCCTGATGGGACAGTAGATAGGTACAAGGCTCGGCTTATGGCTAAAGGATATCATCAAACGCAAGGAATTGATTACTTTGACAGTTTTTCGCCTGTGGCTAAGCTTGTTACATTTCGTTTGTTATTGGCAATTGTGGCTGGAAGAGGGTGGCCTCTTCACCAATTAGATATTAATAATGCTTTTCTTCATGGCTTCTTGGATGAGGATATCTATATGAAACCGCCTAAAGGTTACAGCAAGGCTTTGCCAGGTCAAGTTTGTAAGCTCAAAGCAGCCTATATGGGCTCAAACAGGCATCTTGACAATGGAATAACGAATTCTGTCTGAAATTTTAGAGTTTTGGTTTTTACCAATCAGCCCATGATCATTGTTTATTCACTAAACATGATTCACCGAGCGTTCTTTTTCTCCTAGTTTATGTTGATGATGTTCTCATCACCGGTTCGCGTGAGGAAGATATCATTGCAACAAAGAATTACTTGCATCAAGCATTTACTATTAAAGATTTGGGTTATGCTAAGTATTTCTTGGGTTTAGAAATTGCAAGGAGTGTAGAGGGAATGTATATTAATCAAAGGAAGTATATTATGGATCTCATAAGAAATTCAGGTCTCATTGGTGCTAAACCAGTACCAGTTCCTATACCAAAGGGCACAAAACTGGTAGCACTAGCTGGTTCTTTGCTTTCTGATCCGGAAAAATACCGAAGGTTGGTTGGACGCCTTCTTTACCTTAATGACCAGGCCTGACATTACTTATGGCGTTCAGCAATTGAGTCAGTTCGTTAATGCCCCCGTCAAGTGCATTGGGATACTGCTCTACACCTTCTTCGTTATCTCAAAGGTTGTCCATCAAAAGGTCTTTTCTTTCCAGTTCAGAATTCCTTCAACCTAGAGGCATACTCTGATGCAGATTGAGGTTCCTATCTTGATTCACGGAAGTCTCTCACCGGTTATTGCATTTTTTTGGGATCATCTTTAATCTCTTGGAAGACAAAGAAGCAAACCACGGTCTCTCGCTCTTCGGCTGAGGCAGAATATCGCAGCATGGGAAGTACTGTCTGTGAGCTGCAATGGATTTCCTACATTCTAAATGAGCTTCGTGTTCCTTTTTAATCTCCTATTCCGTTATGGTGCGACAACAGAGCAGCTCTGCACATTACGACTAATCCTGTTTTTCACGAACGGACCAAGCATTTGGATATTGATTGCCATGTCGTGCGAAATCAGTTTTAAGTCTGGTTTTATCCGACCACAATTTGTTCCTTCAAGTCTCCAATTTGCTAATCTGTTTACTAAGCCACTGGCCTTTCCTCAGTTTGATCTTTTTCTCTCCAAGTTGGGCTTGGCTGATCTCCACCAATTCCAACTTGAGAGGGGAGGGGGGGTGATGAAGGAATAAATAAAGGACTTCACAACTTGGCTGAAGACGTCTTTGCTTTAAGTCGTGTTTTCATTTTTTTACGTTTTTGTTAATTCCGTTTCTTTTCTGTTTTTCTCCACTGTTATTCCTTGGTGTGCTGTCAATCAGCCATTGGACAATAGCTTGTTCTTGTTCTATATATACTACGAGAGTTTCCTTCTCGTGGTAGATTAGAAGATTAAAATAAAATTAGATTTCTATAAATGTTCTTCAGCTGGTTTCTGCTCAAAGCCCCACGTTGGAGGGATTGATATGCAACAGGTCATGAGCTCAATCCTGGTGAGAAATTGGTTATACAGGAAAAACGGCATCTATCTACTCAGTTCAGAGTCCAACATCAGGTAGGAGGGACGGACATGTAACTCTTCATGAGCTCAAAGATACTAGGATTCCAAGAAACTTCAAATACTAAAGTCGGAGCATCTTGAAAGAAATTCTCATTAATCGTATTGAACATAGGAATGTATATTACCTCTTCTGCAACATGTAAAAAGTTGTTGACAAGGTCACCGGGCATACCAGGAAAACGAGCTCTTAATTCTTCTCTCTGGGGAAACTTCAATGAGAGATGTTATCAAATGAAAAGAAAAAGGTTCTGACATTTGAAGTTGAAAAATAAAAATAAAATTTCATCACCTGACTAGAAACACCAACAGGACAATTATTTGTGTGGCAGATACGAGCCATTACACAGCCAGTAACAATCATAGCTATGGAACCAAATCCATACTCATCAGCACCCATTATTGAAGCTATTAAGACATCAAAGCCACTTTTAAAGCCACCATCTACCCTGAGAATGACCCTTTCTCTGAGCCCATTTTGAATGAGAGTCTATAAGCCCATCCCAACCGGGAAACAAAAGAAGGGAAAAATAGAAGTTAGATAGATTTCAATAAATGAAACATGAAAATGAAGAGTATCTCATGTTTGAAGTGTATAAAAAGAACCTGGTGTGTTTCTGTAACCCCAGGATCCCAAGGACCACCTGCATGCTTGATAGAACTCACAGGGCTTGCTCCAGTTCCCCCGTCATGCCCTGATATCTGCAAACGAGGCCAAACATAACTAAATGTTGTTAACCATATCCTACTAAAGACTAAAAGGTCCACGCATGAATGATGGTTCTCAAGAAAACTGTGTCTGCCATACAAAGAAACTGTGTGATGTTTTTTTTATTTTCCAGTTAATTTGTACGGGATTCGCATTTCAAGAAATGGCATCATACAAGCTGGTAAATTATATATAGCATTTGACAAAAAAAATGCATGTAGCGTAAAACATAAAACCGGTAGTAAAACAAAGAGCACATTCGAATTGAGACCCAAAAAAAAAAAAAATTAAAGTAAAAATATAAGGCTAAACAAAAAATTTTCTTTGGGTCTTCTGTTGGATAAAATCAAATTTGCAACTTTAACTTCAGAATCGAACATTGTTGGATGATAATCGATGTACACCTGTATAATATCAGCATTACCCTTTGTAACTCTAGAAGCCACTGTGCCAATGCCAGCTTCTGCTTCAAGCTTTATAGATACTTTATCCTTAGGATTGACCTGTTCATTGATAACAGTGTGAATGTCATAGTTCTGGCAAATAGATATTTTACGAGTACAAGAAGAACAAACTTAGTGCAAAATCTTCACCTGATGAAGGTCGAAAATCAATTGAGCAAGATCTTTAATAGAATAAATATCATGGTGTGGAGGTGGAGATATAAGAGAAACGCCAGGCTTTGAATTTCTTAGTCTTGCGATATAAGCACTAACTTTTTTCCCTGGAAGTTGGCCGCCTTCTCCTAAATTATGTTTCCCACCCAATCCATTCACAGCAATAGTAATTGCTTCATGAGTTTCCCTAGAAATTGCTCCTAGTGACATTCCACCAGTGCAAAACCTCTTAACAATAGATGAAGCAGGTTCAACCCTTCCTATTGGGATCAGAGAACGATCACTTTTAAACTCAAGAAGATCACGGAGAACCTGCATTCCTGACATGGTTGTTACGCTGGACTAGACAGTACCAGATAGAATTAACAGAGAAAAAAATGTTAAAATCTCGTATGTTTTCCCATATGATACTGTCTAGCATTTTGTACCAGCATGCCTTCAACGAATGTTGATTGTGTTGTCTAAAAACGAGAGCGTACTATAGTCTTCTATTGAAGTTAAAGGTCTAGGGAACATAGAACATGCAGAGGTTTTAGAGAAATAAATCATTACATCACGCCAGCAAGCAACTCACATTTACGGGTCGGATAGCCAAATGCTGCTGATAAATTGAATATGCACTTTCACTTTTTTGGCGAATGGCTTCGTGGAACAGTTTGGACGTCTCTGGATTGTTGCTATGATATTCACCTTTCAATTAGACAAGAATAAGAATTTAGCACTGTAATGGGCGAATGGAAACATAATTTTTTGGTTCACGTGAAACTTGAAAATTCTGATCATATACCACAATTTTTTGTTTCTAGTGTTCTACGAAACTATGGTCACATGCGAAAACGAATCAACAAAATATTAATTACTCAAGAATACAAATATGTACAAAAATATTTAGCCTCTGTTTAGTACAGATTCTTTAAAGCTCATTCTTCCTCAAAACTCATTTTCAACTGCACATTCTCTGAACAAAATTTTTGCACGTGGATTCATAACTTTTCCTACTTTTAATCACACATTCTCAATAAAATCAATTTTCACAAAATCTATTCTCAAAATTCTATATCAAAGAGGCCCTGACCTCCTAGTCTAAATTGTATGAACCCAAAATTTTCAAGTCTTTTAGCTGTTTCTTCACAGAAAGCCTTAACCCAATAATAAAATTGGGTTCAAATAGTAAAATGTAAACGAACTATAATCTCCAATAATATTTTGTTTTGAAGAGTGTTATACAAAAATAACCCATTTTCTACATGAAATTCATCCTTCGTTGACTTCCAAGATAGCAAAGCAAATAGGACAATAAAAAGATAAACATGAAGGAAAAAAAACAGACGTGAATTATCTTTCAAGGAAATACAATGTATATAAACACAACGAGAAGCACAAGAACATTAAAAGAAGAAAGAATCATTATAACCAGCATGTGTGTATATGAACCTTGCAGAAGTTCATTTGAGCCTGTTCAATTGTGACAGTAGGCATTTTCCCATTCCGCATCAAATTCACAGTTTTAGTGCTCAAACGCCACTGACGACATGTCTCTAGTGCCAAGTATGGACATACGCCACTGCAAAGATATATAAAAACGAAGGGAAATAAAATGGGGATTTAAACATTAAGGAGATGTAGCAAATTTAATCAAAATCTCAAATTGAATTTTAGGCGACAGATGCAGTTATTTCAATCAATGACATGAAGCTATGCAGTTAACAAAATCCAATCTTCAAATGCTAAGTAGTGGTACATAGTATTGGGTAGGACTAAGGGCCCATTTTATTAGAAAGAATATTGGGTCTAACTCAACCTAACAAAATTGACTTGTTAGGGGAGAATTGTCCTCACCTTATTAAGTAGATCGTGTAAATATCACCAGCTAATGTGAGACTCTAATACGCTCCCTCACACAAAGCGTGGACCATGTCAAACAATTGTGAACAAATCGATATTGGGTGCACCCAACATTGCAAAATTGAGTCTGCTCTGATACCATATTAGAAAGAATACTAGGTTTAACTCAACCTAACAAAATCGGCTTGTTATGGGAGGATTGCCCTCACCTTATTAAGTGGATTGTGTAAATAGCACCGGCTAATATGGGACTCTAATACATTTAGAAGGGTTTTTAAAACGTCAAAAGTTACTTCTCTAACTAAGAAACTGTATTTAGGCTTCTACGAGTGTTCTGTCTGGTTATAAGAACTTTAGAGGAATCTGGTTCAAGGTGACATTCTCAAGAAACTCTTCGATAAAGGTAGAAGTAGTCAAATGTGACTTTCTTCAAAAATACTTTTATAATATGAAACTCTTTTAAAAATTAGTTTCCAAACAAAAATTAAAGTAATTTCCTTCAAAACTCTTCTACAAGAAGTAAAAGTAGAAGTCATGTCAAATGAGCCCCAAGGTAAAGGTTCTTCGTTTCACTTTTTTGACTTTTTGGTGTTTGATCCATCTCCTCAAACAATAAAGTTATTTGTACAAAGTTGAGTTACAAAAGTTGAATTACAAAATGTGTTGGCAAAATTCACACCATTGATTTCAAATGATTTAAACATTTGTTTTTAAAATGATTGGTGTAGATGTTATTTTGTCAATCAATTTTGTAACCCAACTTTGTACATGTAGCATAACTCCTCTTCAAATCATCGTTATTACCTCTAACTAACATGTTTCATCTGGATATCATCTGAAGTGTCTTAACCACCTTTTCTAATGTCCAGGTCTCGATGCTTGAATATTCCATCTTTTAGTCCTTTTAATACACATCACTTTATTTTTGCTTGATACAACTTCAAGAAGGGACTTTCACCTATAAAAATAATACATACATTTAACTTAAGTGGAAATACGACCAAAACAATTGAATATTAAGTAGATTTAAGAGTAAGGATAAATGCTTCAAATGCACTTATCAGAAACTCTAGTGAAAATATAGCAAGAGACTAATCTCTCGTTGAACAATGGTACAAGTCTAAAACATGATTACAAATAAGAATTGCTAACAATTTGTTATGAGTTAACTGTTTCAATAATCACAAAACTTATGTTGGTATCTTTCATTACTCACTATAGTTTTAGATGTCGAGTCGGCCAGTAAACTTCTCAAGATATCGGATGTTACTTGCTAGATGACTTTTGTTCGCAACAGTAACAAAATAATTGATGTGATAGATAGATTGCAGAGCCGGCACTCAATCATTAAACAAATGCCCAATCACATGGAAAGGCGCATTTGATTGCACACTTTACTTTGACATATATTATTTTTTGTTCACTCATTATACTTTAAGGTAGTCGAGTTTTGACCACATTGTTGACCTATGATTGATTTCATACTTCATGTTTTGATCATAGCAAACAAAATTAATATTGTTTCTAATAATTTATTGTTAGTTATTCTTGAGTTTTCAATTGGTATCACAGCAAGGTGCTCATTTTGAAAATAAGATTCCACAATTTTCAGCAATGGCTAACCGCATTTTTTAAAATCTCGAGAAACATTCTACAAATCATCATCATTTCTTGATTGCACTCATTATAACTATTGGAATGCTTGAATGACGATATTTATTTAATCAATAGATTATAATATTTGGGGGAAGTCATTGAATTTGATCCTTATATGCCTACAAAAATTATTAATGTTGATGGTAAGTTGAATCATCTCAAAACCTAGAGAGGAGTACGATGAAGTAGATAAACAAAAAATATCTTTAAATGTTAGAGCCAAAAATATATTAGTACACGTGATTTCGCTTATGATATTTGGCATGGGTTAGAAATTACTCATATTGGAACTAGCAAAGCGAAAGAAATTAAGATAAATCTCTTAGTTAAATATTTTGAAAATTTCTTTATGAAAGAGAATGGATCGATTTTTGACATGATCATTCGTTTTACCAATATTGTTGATGGTCTCAAACGCTTTAATCGAAAATTCACTAATGGTGAACTTGTAAGTAAAGTGCTTGGGTCTCTCTTGGATAATTGGAGTTCGTTGAGAATGTTGATAAAAGCACCAAAGATATCAATACATATCCATTGGAAGAGCTCTATGAAAAATTGATGACACATGAGTTAAATCGCACCAAGACAAAACATAAGATAAGAAAAGCAAAGAAGACGTCAAATTGCTTTAAAATCTGTAATTGATAAAGGCACTTCAAACGAAAATTTGAATGATGACGAACTTGATGATCCAATTCTTGTTAAAAAATTGCTCTAAATCATTATATTCTTAAAAAGAAAAATTCTTTATAGAAAAAGAGGTAAAGAAAATTTTGGAAATTTAAAATAATTTTGAAAAATAAAAAGTCAACTACGATTCTTTAATTAAGGATAACTCCTCTTTACAAGAAAAGATTTTAGATTTAACTCAAATTGTTCACAAATTTACTCAAAATAAGAAAAAAAATTTGATCTTATACTTGGGAAACAAAAATGTGTTTTTGATAAAAGAGAAATTGTATATAAACCATTTTTGAAACAAATTTTAGATTTAACTCAAATTGTTCACAAATTTACTCAAAATAAGAAAAAAAATTTGATCTTATACTTGGTAAACAAAAATGTGTTTTTAATAAAAGAGAAATTGTATATAAACCATTTTTGAAACAAAGGTCTCTTAAAAATTTCTTTGTTAAACCTCTACTTCCCCTCTTACAAATATCACATGTAATTTTTGTAATAAAAATAAACATATGAATTTTAATTATTCAATTAAAATGGGGTTTTCACTTTGAAAGCAAATACAAGTGGATTCTGAAGTCCACAAACATTAACAATTAAGGATCAAAAGTTTTATGGCTACCAAAAAACAAAAACTAAATAATTTCTAGGTACCAAAGAAAATAAAGAGCAAAATTTTGGGTAGTGCATGTTTCAGCACATGACTGGGAAATAAGTTGTATTCTCAAAAAGAAAGAATGGAGTTCAAAATGAAAGAATTGAAGCTAATGAAAGCTCCAAAAAGTTCATCAATCAAATTGAATGATCAAGGTATATTAGTAAACAAAACAAAATATCAAGGTATGATCGAATATCGTTTTTTACTTAATCGTTAGTTGATCCGATATTATATTTAGTATGTGCTTATGTGCTATATTTCAATATAATCGTAAAGAATAGCACCTTAGTACCGAAAAACAAATTTTTTGATATCTTAATGGCACTAAAACATTAGGTCTTTGGTATCCAAAAGCACCCACTTTGATTTACTAGCTATAAGGAAAATCAATTGACCAATAGTTTTACTAAACCTCTAGCTCTTAATAGTTTTTCAAATATTCAAAGAGGTTTGAAAATTTTAGATGAATTTGAAATATGTGGTTAATGTATTTATATATTTATTTGTTGATAAAACTATTGCTTTTATGCCTATATGATCATAAAATTCAAAATTTTTATTAAAAATGAGGAAGCGGACGTTCGGATGTGCAATCGGACAACCATGAGGATGTTTGGACTCCAACATCCGGATTGACAAAATGTTGGGTCTTTCCTATGCTGACGTCCGGACCTATTAAGAGGACGTCCGGTTGAGCGTAAATCCAATTTTATGTATTTAATTTGGAACTATTTGAAATATGCTATGAAATTTAATGTGGTCTATTATGTTTTGATACAATATTATGCATATATTTGGCGAATATTTGGCATTTTGTGTTTATGAGGAATAATACTCCTTCCTCTGGTTGATTTACATTTTTGATCATCAATATGCTATTCTTTTTGTTTATGTCAAAAGAGGGAAATAAAGCGAGATGATTATGCATGTTTTGATTTGAAAATATAATATGCTTGGAGTATATGAAAAAGGGAAAAAAAAGGAAAAATCATTTATATGCTTTTAATGTATGGTTATTGATTTGTAAAAGTTATGGGGCATATGAATTACACGATAAATTTATAATGTATATTCTTTTATTAATTTGATATAAATTGTTCAATCTTACCTTACAAATCATTTTATTTGTTATAATCAAAAAGGGGAAAAATTGTTGACCTATGATTGATTTCATACTTCATGTTTTGATCATAACAAATAAGATGAATATTATTTCTAACAATTGATTGTTAGTTATTATTATTAGGCTTTCACACTGAACTTCTCAAACGACGCTAAGAATGATATGAAATTTAGGAATTATCAGGAGCTATTCAAAAACACATATGATTTTATGATTAGAATAACTTGAATGGTTCAACATTCTCTTTTTGTTAGAGAATGAATAGTTTGTAGTATTTGATATGCAAAATCAAGTGGATAGAATTTTACAAGAGAGAGTAAAGAGTGTTAAAATCAAGAAGAACGAAATGAGAAAATACTAATGACGATGCAACTAAAGCTAGTAATTAAATTATAAAAAATCCAAAAATTATGATGGATGAGCAATCAAATGCGCCTTTCCTCGAGATTGAATACCATTTTAGGGATTTGAGTGCCAACTGTGCAATTCGTCTTCCACGTCAATTATTTTTGTTATAGTTGCGAAACGAAAGTCATCCAAGTGAGAAACATCCAACATTTTGGAAGTTTAGTGGCAAAACTCGACATCTGAAATTGTAGAGCAATAAAAAACACCAACATAAGTTGAGTGATTATCGAGACAATTAACTCATTTTTTATGATCAAGATATAAATATAAAATGACATTATTACAATTACAAATAATGAACAAGTTTCTATTTATGAAATTTTTTTAAAAAATTACACATTTCATAAGATTCATAACTTTTATTAACTCTTATTAAAATTAGTCATAATTAAACGCGCATTGCACGTTATTTATATATGCTTTATAGGTGCTATTAAAATAAATATTATAAGATGTAAGAATATAAAAAATAATTATTACAATTGTTTATGTGGAATGAATTTTTTATTCAAATAAAATAAAAATCAGTTTGTGAAAACAATTTAAATAGTTGAGAAAGTCAATTAGAATAGTCCCTCAATTTACTCATTTGATCTCATATGAACATCCAATGAATACCATTCTTTTTTCGTATTTGCTTAATATGTATGAATATATCAATTGAAATTATTTATTATAAATACGCATTAAGTTCCCCCATTTGCATTCTTTGCGTCTTAACATTCATTGAATAAATGAAAGAAAACTCTAAAAATATTCATCTTGTGTTCTATTTTTTTTTAATGAATTTAATTTATTACCCATTCAAGTGGAATGAATCTTTCAAATGTATTGATCATAACTAAATAATTGACAAAATAATTTCATGATAAATATTGTTCAAATGATTAAAAAAATCAAATACATATTGAAAAACAAAAGGTGATGAATATGTCAAATATAGTCAAATAAATTAAATACAAATTGCAAAATAAAAAATAAGGCAATAAATGTGTTAAATATCCATTCATCATAACTAAATAGTTGATAAAATAATTAATGATAACATTGTTTAAATGATTCAAATAATTAATAAATTAAATATATATTGAAAAGTGAAAAAATAAGGTATTATTGAAATAGTTAAATACATATTGAAAAACGAAAAGTAAGGCAATATTGAAATAATTAAATTATAGTAAGGATATAATCGTTTAAAAAATAATTCTCAATTAATGTAATATTTAATATATTATAGATTATCAACCCTTATTAAAATGAGTAATAATATTTATAATCTACTACTATAATCATTCCATGTAAGAAGTTATTATTTGATGTATTAATTTTTTGTAATTCTATTATTTCAAATAATAAGTTAATATCTCGAATAACGAACATCACATAAAAAGATTATTATAATCGCTGATTATGAATAACATCACTCAATTAAATTTTTTAAA